GTGGGAGCCTGAGAGAAAAGACAATCCTGAATGCATGCTCTATGTTGCAGTTTCAACGGAGACAGGCGCATGCTACCTTGGCAAAGCCCAAGGAAGGAGAGAGGCCAATAAGAGGACATGGTATGGACCAGCACGGAGATTCCGTGAACACTTTGAAGCCTCCTTCCAGCAGAAGGGTAGCCAGATACATAGACCCAGATATAAAACTTGGGGGAGCACAGCAGCATGGTCCCTTTGCTCTTTGCCAATTGCATTTAGCACGACCGACCGAATTCTTAGATTTGAAGACCTATGTATCCAGATATTACATCCCCCGTCACAACGTGCAGCGCCCAACCCGAGCCACAAAAACCAGCCCCAATCGAGACGCCCATATAAGTGGCAGCGAGTTAAGCCTGGTGTGGACAGGGAATGTGCGCTTAATCTTGTATCAGGAATACAACATAACAGTGAGCTTCGTAACAGATTCTAGCAAAACAAATGTACGTTTGATTTGCTCGTTAAGTATTGTGTTGAGAAGTACGGTCTCTCAAAAAAAAAAGAGTTGAAGCAACAATGTACTTACGTGGATATGAAGCATGGTTGGCCATATATTTATCCCAGCACGGCACAAGACTCAATTACCACAGAATGTGGCGCCACGGGTACGTGGTGGACTACTGTCTTAAAGTGTGGCAAGAGTCTGCTAAGTTACAATATGAACAATGCCAATGTGCAAGAGGAAAAATTGAGAGATTCCTGCACTCAGGGAACCTGTTGTCAAGATATGTGTTCTACATTCGCATACCGCATGATAGGCCAGCCGTCATACGTGCCATGCGTGATGTTGTACACACTTATTTACAGCAGATTTGTGCTAAGCGTCCGCTTCTGCTTGCATATTTTAAGTCCAAAGTGCGAGTGGTTAGTGCAGCCATCCCAAGATTCAGTGAACCTATCACGCAGCATAACAAAGTTGCAGCTGCTTTCTCAGTGCCATTCTATCGAGAGATACAAAAAAAACCTGAGTTCCAGCACAAGCTTGAGAAAGCCATTGCGTGGTCAAATTTATATTGGAGCCTGCCAGAGGTTCCAAATGACCACAAGCTTTGGACAGAGCTTGATCAGCAGTTGCGAGTGCATTTTTGGAAGCATCAGATTGTCGGCAAGTTTGGCCGACTTGTGGACGTTGAACAGTTGCGGGAAAAATGAATGCATGCGTTGTTCACACTTGCGCGTGAAAAACAAGAGTTTGTTCCCAGCTCCGGTGCCACTGCTGGCAAGATGCCAGCTCCAGAGGTTGCTTCTGCAGGAGAGAAGGCAGATACGCCTACCAGAGCCCCACTTGCATGCATCCGACAGTGCATCCTTGAGGAGTTCGAGGGAGCAGTCTGGGTGGGAGTTGACAAAGACCCACATCGGAGAGCAGGTGCTTCATGGCAGTCATACCTCATCCTTCTCGGAGAGACATTCCTCAATGATCCAATACATTATACATATGTGCCAAAGCTCACAAAAAAACAAGTGGCCAAGCAGCAGCGTAAGCGTGATAAGAGAATGGTTCCGAAACAGTTTCGGAGCCGACTGCAGGCCTCACCTGATGACATTGCATCAGCATACCTTACATATAAAGGCAAATGTTTTTCACATGAGACGGGAATGTTGGAATGTTGTAAACCCCATGCACATGTGCGTGAAATTGTATCAGGGATACGTGCCACACAAAAGAAATTCATACAACTTGCAGCAAGAGCAGTTAGACTTGCAAAGAAGTATTCAGGTGATTTCACATGGACGATATGGTCCCCCCAGCAGTTGCCAGCACTTATTTCACAACGTGTTGCTAGGCTTAAATATGTTGTTCCCAAATATGAATGCTGTTGTGCCAGATGTAAGAAGCCCAAACCACCAGTTAGGCATTGCAAAGCAGATGCATCGCAGTTCTTCAAAGATGCAAATTTTGAGAGAGGTGCCCATCGAATTGTTGACATGCTTTCTAGAATCACAGCACAGAAAGGTGCGAAAGGGATTGCGATCAGAAGAGGCCGAAAAGCAACAGGATACCTGGTATGCCCAGGAGATAAGATCAAGGCCCAGCACGTATACATATCGTTTGCACACATCAGGCGTGCACTCATGTACATTCGTGAAGATAAGTACTTTGCAGTTGGAGAATCCATCTTTCGAAGAGAGAGAGGATGGGCCATGGGAGCCCCGATGTCAGAGCCAGCGACCCTGGCAGACCTGGGAGAATGCATCAGACAAGTGTACCTCTCTCCTCCCCTTGCTGCTGCTGTCGGTCTCGCGTTTGGAGGCATGTCAATACATGATGTTATCCAAGGCTTGTTGTATGTTGATGACAGTTTGTCCATGTCGAAAGTTCTGTGTAGCAAATGCCTGTTTGCATCTATATGTAGAATGTTTCCACCAGACATGGGTTTCACAGCTGAAGGTCTCCAGTTACCCATTGAATACCTCCAGTTACGAATTGACCCAAATACGTGTGAAGATTCGAATCCCAGTAGACAGTCATATGTATGTAATGCTTTCTCAGTTAACGATGCCTTTGCTAGAGGAGAAGTTGATCAACCAAAGGTTGCTAAGTTCCCAGAGTATCTATCCTGCCCCAGGAGCCTCCCACAAAGATTCATCCACCTTAAGGTGTGGGAAAGAATCATTAATTTTAACTTTATGGCTGAAGGGAGACCTGAGCGTGCGAGGGAAGCGACTGTTGACATTGTGTGTGAATTGTTTCGTCTTGGATGGCCCCCAAAAACCATCGGAGCAGGAATGTGTAACCTTCCCCGGTGCCACTCGTCGGCCTACATCCTGGTTGTTAGGAAGCTGGGTAAGCTGCTCCGAAAAAAAGGCACAGTCCTGGAAGAATTGCGAGATGCGAAGGGGGCAGCCCAGTTGGTGCACTCAGTCGTTTCTGCCCTGTACGTTTCTTTCTGAGCCCTGGGTCCAAATCCGTAGCCCTCTCGGTTTGAGCATGATGTTGATTGCCTCATTCCACCTCGCGGTGATCCTTTCCACCAGCTGCCACCAGTGTGCAGTCATGTCGTGGCGTGACAATGGTGGTGGTGGGCAGCGGCCGAAGTTCATGCCAGGCCAGTCCCAGAACCAGCAGAAGTACCAGAACCAGCAGCAGTACCAGCAGAAGTCCCAGTACCAGAACAACTACAGTGGCCAGGATGCGTATGTCCAAGGCGCTCTACAAGAAGTGCGCAAGGCGAACGAGGCGTTCCAAGCACGAGAAGAGAAACATGCTGCACGACAAGAAAAGAAAAATTTCATTACCACAGTGCAGAACACAGTTGCAGAGATGCTCGGCCTTTCGGTACCCGACAAGAAAGAAAAGAAGTATAAGAAATCAAAGAAGACAAAAAAAAAAAAAAAAAAAAAAAAAAAATGGTTGTATCTTAAAAGGTGAGAAGAAGCAACCGTTTTCGTTCCTCAAACTGGCGGGGAAGAAGATCCTCAAGGCGAGAGACAGTGACACGTCAGTTTCGAGCAGTACCACATCATCATCCTCATCCTCAGTCCAGACATTGAATTTCAAGAAAGTGCGCAGGCAGTGGCAGAAAGTGAACAAAAAGAAAACGGAGAAAGGTGATACTGAGAAGCAGCAGATACTGATGCTCATGCAGATGATGATGAACAAATCACCCACTGATGACATCCCGAGTATGCCAGTACAGCAAGCAAAACCGAATGATATGAAGACGATGCTTTCACAGATGCAGCAGTTTTTTTCAATGACAAATGGATCTTCGAGTAGTAATGCCAGCAGTGCAACGACCCCGAGAGATACTGAGTTGACGGCCCTGAAGTTGCAGATTGAGGAGCTACTCAAGGGACAGGCGCAACAGCCCAAGATCCCCAAAGGCAAGCTTCTCCTTGCGAGTGACGAGCCGCCAGATGAACCCGACCAGACACCGACCACCATTCCAGAAGCAATGCTCCAGTTGGCCAAAGAATTATTGCCAGATGAGAAGTTCGATGAATGGCCGACGGGGAGAGACGATTGGGTAAAAAAGTTTGCCAACCTCCCCAGCATCACACAGAGTAAATTGAATGAGTATCTTAAGAGGAACGGTCTCTCGACTACGACGGGGAGAGACAAAGCATCCAAGGTGTATCAGCTCATTTCCAAGTGTGAGTCCGAGTGAGATGAAAAAACATATTAAGAGATTTCTTAGGCGCAGATACCGTCGTGCCATGCGCCTTGGAGCCATCCTCTGGCTCCCGACAGCCCTTTTGGCTGACCTACTGCAGGTGTTGCTCGCACGTGTCCCAGGGTTGCCCAGCCAGAGTGTCCCAGCGTGCGCAGCAATAATCTCGCATTCCATATTTCTTTTTGCTGCTGCTTTCGTCCATGAAAGGACGCGGGTGGGTGCAGCAGCAGCAGCAACAGCATGTTTACAGTCCTCCCATGAGTTCTTAGTAACAATAGATGTTGCTGTTGCACACATACACATTCAGTTTGAAGTAGCTAGCTTACTTATGAGTACCGTCCAGAGTTGTTGGGTCCTCGTCCTGAGTTGCATCCTATTTGCTTGCAGAGTTGCACTTGTTCTAGGACATGTGATAATCTGCCTTCCATACTCATCCGTATTGTTACTGTGCATGTTGATCCTTGGCCTGATTTAGGCCCGAGGAGGCTCTTTGGCAGAGGACGTAATGCCCGTGGTGTGCTGCCAGACGTTGCACACCAGCCGTTCCAACGCGGCGGAGAGCGAGGCCAACGGAAAGGGGGTTGGGGTGAGGAAGGGGACGAAGGGGCAGGAAGTGCAGAGGAGCCGTTCCAGAGTTTGTCCTTCTCTCATCTCGATTATCTTCCAAAGCCTAACTGTTGCCTACCAAGCAGCATCATCATCATCATCATCATCATCATCATCATCATCATCATCATCATCATCATCATCATCATCATCATCATCATCATCATCATCATCCTATTCCTCCTCCTCCTCCTTCTCATCCTCCTCAAATTATCCTTGGCAAATGCCGCGGGGAGCCGAGCGCCGCGGAAGCCCAGGCTGGCCCGCGCAGGAGACTGCGGGGGCGAAGAGAAGGACGAGTGGGAAGAGGAGGGAGAGGAAGAGGAGGAGAAGGGGGAGGAGGAGAAGGAGGAGAAGGAGGAGGAAGAAGAGGAGGAGGAGGGCGTTGTGGTGGTGGTGGCTGGCCATGAAGGCAGGTTAGAAGAAGTCCTCATCGGAGGCCTCCGAATCATTGTCGGGGCCTCCTCTGCCGCCCGACTGGCCGAGCACCGTCATTCGGTCCATCTCGGCGGCGCGTAGCCCAAAGGCCGCAAGGACTGATGCCGGGGGCAAACCGAAAAACCCTGCCGCGGCGGCCCCGCCAACGGCGGAGCCCGAGCCCGCGAAGGGCTGAGACTGATCGTCCTCGAGCTCAGCCCTCTCTTCAGCACACAACGAAACAGGTTGGCTGAGCTCGAGGGCCTTCGCTGAGCGACGATAGTGGGCGTGCCTCCCCCGCTTGATGAAACGCGGGAGGGACTTCACCTTCGGGCCCGCTGGTTTCCGCTCGCAGCGAAACAACAGCAGCCCGCCAGGCTTCCCCGAGGTGTATCCCCCGTATCTGAAGCGGAGAAGGATATTGCCATGCTCCTCGGACGGCCCCTCGGTATCACATCTGAGCAGGCCATGCCCTCGGAAGTAAAAGCATTCAGGGCACCAACAGCCCACAGCTCATCGTCAACCCCGCCCTCCTCCACGACGACACCCGACGACGGCCCCCCCTCTCCTTCATTACTCTCGGGGGGGGCGGCAGCTCCGAGGGTCCGCGCTCCTCGGCGGCGACTCCAACAGTGTCGCACCTGCCGCCTCGCTGGCGAGCCAGACCTCCAGCCTGCCCGCCCACCCCCCCTGCTCTTGACAAAGGATCTTGAAACCTCTGATCAGACTCGCATGTCTTCGGTGACTCCATGCATCAGGGCCCCTGCCTTCGCACGGCGGTCTGCCGCCCGGTTGGCTCTGAGCCCCCACCAGGTCGTCGCACCACTCTCTACGTCGCCACTGCCCGCGTGGGCAAGCGTTTCGTAGGCAACAAAATCTTCTCTCGAAAACGCAGCCCAGAATGGCGCCTACATGCGCCCTATTGGGGCCCAAGCTTCGGCCCCCTTAAAGGACATCGAGCGTCGACTTGCACTCTAGATACAATTGGAAAGGCCCTCCCCCCTCGTGCGCCAACATGAGGATCGCAAAATCTGCACCATCCTTGGCCGTCTGGCGGGGGCCGAAAGACAAAGGCAATGGGCCGAACGCTGCATGCATAACACATTGTCACGCCTATCCACTTGCGCCAGCGCCAAAGTACGTCCCGCGAGGAACCCACAAGCAGGCTAGTTCACCCGCCTGACGGCCTCGACGGGCTCTTCGCGGGGCGCAAAAACTAGGGGGCACGGGGGCACACATCTAGCAAGACGCCCTCCCGCCTCCACCCGCAGCTTCAGCCGCGGCGAGAACCCGCCCATCCCGCGACCTTCGTGCGCCACACACTTGAACTGCCTATGCCACAGCGCACCTACATAGGCCTGACACAAACGACGCAACGGTGAAGCACGCAGCCCATGCCCATGCACCCTTGCTTGCGGCCGATGCACACTGCAAATCAGCGCTCTGAGCGCGCGCTGGCGGCGGCTGGACCAGCCCCTCATCTTGCCACGGTGACCTCGGGGGCCCTCGCCCCCAAGCCGCCCAGGACTGCCCGACGCCCGCATGGCCCCGCCCTGCAACAGCCCTCGAAGCTCAGACGGCGAGAGCTGGCACAGGTTCCACTCGCGCCCACCATCGCCCCTCAGGCGCGCGCTAGGCTACAAAGGCCAACCGATTCTGGACACAATCAGGCAAGCTACTTCCGAAGGCGACGAGGCGACCCCCCACGAGCGACGGAACCGTTCCAGCGCGTCAGGAGCCGACCGAGCCCACGGCAGCACCCAACACCGTCGGCGAGGGGAAACTCCCCCACACAGCCGAGGCCCACTGAAACACGACATGCCCCGCAGAGGCAGCCAGCGGGTCTGCCAAGACCCCTGCCCTGCACGAGTGGAGCCTGAGCCCAAGACTGGGCCCTTTAGGGGGGCCCTATGCTACGGGCAGCTGAAATACGAAAGCCGCGCATGGCCGAAAGGGGGACCCCTGTGACACTATTTCCCCAAAGCGCTGCAGCAGTAGTCCCAACCCTTTGGGCGAGGCCAACATCCGCACCAGCACTCTTCAAAATCTGCACACGCTGGCCCCTTGACTTTCAAACCTACCCTGGCGATACCTACCCCCCCCCCCCCCCCCCACGGGATCCCGAGGACGCGCCCGTGCCAAGATTCCGAACCGAGCCCACCCTGGACGAGGGAAGAATCCCCCAGAATCCCCCGAGAAGCCGAGACACGTCCAGACTACATATACACTTAGTCTTGTTCACGTCTACAGGAAGGCTCAGACGATCAAAATCCGCCAGCAGCGACTCCGCCCCCTCACCGAGAACCTGGGCCATCTGCTCCTTCCCCCCACACACCTGTACGGCAATGTCATCGACTGCGCTCCTAACCGCCAACTGCGGCCCCCCTGCTCTGCCTGCAACATCGGGCCCAAGTGAAGAAGTTTCGCTAGACAAGTTGCTCCACTGCAGCCTGCGATCACGGGCCCGCTAGCACGCATGACGCGCGGGGACATGCATATATCGCGCACAGACAGCTCAACAACCTAATCGGAAGGTTGGATCGCAGCGCCGCCTCATACAAGTGCTCGTGACCTATGCGCTCGTAAAACTTGGAAAGATCCAGCAGGGCGGAGGCCGACTCGAAACCGACCCCTTTCGAGAGACCCCCAAGGAAGTCATGGACCCACCCAGCTCGCTCACACGCGGTAGTTTTGCTGGCCCCCCTGAAGACGTCCGCCACGCGACCACGCCCCCGACGCTCGAGCATGGACTGCCTCGCCCTGGACCTAATCTCGGTGGAAAAAAAGCCAGCGCGCCGATGGGGCGCACGCCGTCGGCCTCGACAATAAAAACAACATTCGCCATGAGGAAAACAGATCCCTGTGGAAACCCTTCAAATGTGGAGAATGTCGGTCGAACGCATAGCGTGCACATTGCCGAACTCAAGTACCCACCGAGGATAAAACCCATTCCCAACCCATCCCGCACTTCCTGCCATACCCCCTGCATACCTTCAGCAGAAACTCGGGCGACATAGCTAATAAGGCTGTCTCATCTCGAGGCGCAGACCAAGTGGAGGGGCGATGGGGTCCTCGGCCCTCTACGTACCAGAGCGGCGTCCAGACATCCAGCAGGTAGCCTAACGCTTCCCGCCCACGGACTGGCTTTCCTGCCGCGCCAAGCAAAGACGTGGAACTCGCCCGCGAACGTTTCGAGACAGCGCGGGCCGCCTTCACTCCACCCTGAATCGACTCCAGCACCCGCGATCTCCACTCCTTCACGCTGTTCTTGGTATCCTGCCTTCTCTTCCGAACCACCCCCCTTTGTGGCCCTTCGCCCCCTAGCGTCGCGCCGCCCCCCACAGCCCGCCCCAGGCGCCACCCTGGGGTCCCCGGCGGCCCTCCTCGCCTCCAGCTGGGAGGTCACTGGAGCGCCTGCTACGTCATCGCTGCGTCCCCTCCCCACGACGCGTGCTGAGTCGCCTGGCCCGCCCGCGCGCTCGGGCCCCTCCTTCGCGAGACGTCGTTGGCCTGGCGGGCATTGCTATCTTGTCTCCGTCCTAGCGTGAGAGGCCGACGGGAAACTCCCCCGGCCCGCAACGCCGACCTCCCCCGCCCGCTTTCAGCTCTGTTCACGCACACACACACACACACACACACACACACACACACACACACACACACACACACACACACACACACACACACACACACACACACA